TTCTCCGCCCCCCCCCCCCCCCTCCCCCTTCCCGCAGTTTTAGCAGTGACGTCCCTGACTGATGATGGTGCCTAAGATGCATTTCATTCTCGGGACATTCTCTCCTCGGACCTCGTCGAGATGGTTCGAATAGAGGCCTAAAGTTACAGTCCTCACTGAAATGGTTCTTGAAACAAGAAGCAGAGGCACAATCGGTCTAACGTCACACGAAAATTATATTTGATCCGGCCAAACGGTACTCATCCTCAGCGAGACTCTAACAAGCCCTGAGAGTGAGTGTGAAAGTGAAAGTATAGGCCAAATTTGCCCCGTAAGTCGAGGAATGAGATTCTTTGGCGGAAAAAATGTAGGCCTAGGCCCGACCTGAAGAATGTCCGTGTGTTTGGCCTAGGCCATTAGTGAGTCCCGTTGAGAAGGGGGGGGGGGGAGAGGCAGGGAGGATGGGTGGGTGGATTTAAGAAAGGGAAAGCCTTTGAAAAATGGTTTACACATTACTTCAGAATACATATCATTCGAAATCCCACAACAGAAGCCACAAGCACAAGGACACCTGGACTGCAAGTAGGATATTTATTTCGAGAATATACATTTATGTGCAGAGAAGCCACAGTGCCTAGGCCTAACTTCAGAGCGATAAACATATCAGTTTTGAATAATTTATTGATGCAGAGGGAGATCGTGTGGAGACGAACGATACGTATGTACACGTTGTAGATGCGATTTTAGAGCAGTTGGATCATTTCTCGTTCGGCGGCAGTTTCGGGTAAAGGCATGAGATGCATGAGCATCTGGAGGAGAAGTTTCTTCTTCATCTCATTGTCCTCGTCGGGACTCGGATAATCCTTGATTCTCTGGAAAGGTTCCTCATGTCCAGCGTGGGCCATCATCGGCAGCAACGTCTTGTCCTACGAGACCATTCGATCCGATCGAGTTCATTCGTTTCGTTTCGTCCGTAGACCAACAGTGGAAAGGCTTACCATGCTGAGGATGTTCTCCATGCTGAAGCATTGGGCAAGAAGGAAGAAGTCGTAGGAGTTCATGTCCCCTTGGTTCTTACTCTGAAGCTGCAGCACCTTGTCCATGCAGTTTATGGCCTGCCAGATGTTAGATGGGAAGGAAAATAAACAGCGAGCGAATGATTGGAATCGCAAATTGAGAATAAGGTAAACTCCAACTTTGTTCCCGTTCTCTAAAATTCAAAATTTGTAAATATACCTATATGTAAGTGTATCACATAATCTATCACTGGAAAGCATTTCCACAGCAGATCCTGTTGAGAAAATTCAGAGATGTTCTATGCTTGAGAATATAATGCTTCTCTTTTGAGACTGGAAACTCTGGGGATTTTCAAGAACAACGAGAACTCTGTTGTGTATTCTACGCAGTCATCTTTGAAAAGTAATAATAGCATTTTCAGTGATGGAATATATTATTTCACTTGTGCCAAGGAAGGAATGAAGGAAAAATCTTTCTAAAACTCACTGTTGAAGTGAAGAGAAGACGATCGTATAATTCTCATAGCAAAGATGTTAACTAGGAAGTATACATTTTTCGGGGTGAAAAGGAGAAAACGTAGGCAAATTTTGTGGCAAAGAAGAGTCGGTTTTCGAGCGGAATTCTTTGTATGATGAGGAAAAGCTTCTCCTGATCTTACAGTTCCCGATTCCGAGGTATTATCATGTGATTGTGTCGGTACTGCGGACTTTCAACAATTTCCCTTATTAGAATCGGCTTATGAGAATGTTTGCTTCTACTATATACATCGGACAGGAGATTAACTGAAGCAGTTTAATCCCTTTATTCATAAGCATAAAACTGCTCGTATTAAAATAACATGACTGTCATGGAACAGAGGAATGAACAAAAATGGAAAACGCAATGAAATATCAGTGGGGAGTTATGGCAGAATAAATTTTGAATAAAACATGATAATACTGAACAACTCAGTATTATATATATGGTAGACGGGCAGAGACATTAGAGATGAAAGAAGGAAAATCCAAAAGAGAAGACTTGCCATGGCGCCAGTTGCAGTGACCTTGATGCATCGGACGACCATTCGACCCCGGGTTGTAGGTGAGACTGGGTGAAGCGTTACCGTTACGTTGTCGATCGTCATGCTCATGTCCTCTCCCTTTCCCCCATTGCAACAGAAAAAGTGAAAATGAAAGACTGCACGGTGAGTCGAAAATAGAAAAGTATCAGAACTCACGGCGGCGACGCTCTTGCAGATCTCGAAGTTTCGACTCATTTTGAAACTGTCGGCGCACGATATGAAGTCTTGAAGGTAATTCCCATTCTGCGATTTAAAATTCAAAATGTGATATGAACCATTGAGAATTGAAAGTGCCAAACGTAATTACGCACTTGAACATAAGGAATACATCGGGTTGTGAAATGAAGAAGACGCAGTTAGAAGTGAATTATGTAAATATAAATTATTCGTAGTATATCTTAAAACTGGGACTTGAATTAGGATATAAGGAAATAAATACTAGAGCCAGTGAACTGTCCATTGCTTATATGAAAAATCCCGAAGAACAAATACAATCGTAAGAAAGTGACTCATTGCAGAAATTAAAAAATATATATGTCGACTTAGCAGAATGTCTGAATCTTCTGGGCGAGAATAGAGAAGAATGTGACAGCACCGAAAGAGTGCATTAATTCGTCTGATAATTTTCAAGACCCATTATGATACTCTCGGGAGGGAAGGAATAATAAATTATCCAAGTCCTTCCTTCGATGGAACAGGGTGTTCTTAAAATTTCTAGAATAAAAAGAAACATCTCCTACTGCTCCGTATCCTATGCTACATCGGTTTTATGAAACAAATTTCCTTTAATCCGTCCCGAAGCCCGGTGATTCTACAGGGCAGGGCATATGATGACCATTCATCTCATATACCCACGCATTATATTATGAAGGCTGGAATGATTTGCATGGGTTGGTAAGGTTGGTAGGATAAGCAAGGGTCGACAGTCGCCTTTTCAAAGTGAACGTCTGGTGAGAAGTAAATGAGATGCGTCTTGGCATCTTTCCGTGTCCTGTACATCGTGAAGGGAATTTAAGTGTTCGCTATGTCTCAAACAGGTCAAAATTTACGTCCTGCGAATTTGACACATCGGATAAACTGGGCAACTTTGGGATGTTTCTCTTCTCAATTTTCAAGAGAAAAGGAGCCATACGTCTTAAGTTCCCCACACGGCCACGCTTTACTGTAATCGATGCAACTTTTTATTTAAACATACAGTTTGAGTTAAAATTCAAGCACCAAGGGTGGGCTCTTCTACTCACTGTTAGCTGCTAACGGGCTTTTAGTCCTATGGTGGCAATGGACCTAAAAGGTCTTTTAGGGCTAAAAGGGAGTACAAGAACCCACCCTAAATGAAATATTTTTCATTTTTATTGCAGGTGAAATTAATGAAAATAATGGCAAAATGGTTCAGAAGTACAGCTTTGAGTTAATCTTAGTGAATGTGGACCAATTAACATACCAACCGTAATTCATGAATTTTTGTATCATCCAAGTAACCAGGTATCCGTATTCGGAGAATAGTGTTCAGGAAATATGCTGATCGTTCCGTAAAATCGCAAGGTACGTGCTTCGAATCTCATAATCATCGAAGAAAAACGGACCCAAACAATAACTGAACTCGTTAGCGACATCCTCTTCAGCAATGGATGTTTTATCTTGATGATCCGGGACGCACACAGGAAGTGAGATGCTGGAGCGATGAGAATTACCCACATCGGTATGTGGAGGGCAGGGACAAGGGAGCACAAAGCGTCACGGCATGAGCCTACCTCAGCAATGATAGCGTGTGGGCCAGTATTTCTTCTGTGGTAACATGAACCGAAACACTTTCGTTACGTTGCTGCAAAACGATCAGCAGAATTTTCTGGAGATGGTTATCTCCACACGGATGCTTGGCTTTCTGGATTACCAGAGACGTAATTGGTGCGACTCTTGCTTTTCCTCGATCACTGTAATTCCATGAAGTGTTCCAGGGAACTTTTAAGACATAATGTCCTCTTTTTTTCACCGGAAACAGATCGCAAGCCGTACAATATTCAAGCCTAGAAGTGAGCATCCTTAGAGCGTACTACCACGTATGATATACGAGAAATGACGGGAGGAATGATAGGAGGAGAATTCGAGAGAATTCAAGGAGACGGGAATTGTCCCTGGTCCAAGACTACCACCCACTCAGACCATCAGAGATCAGCCCTAAGTTCATTTTACGGTAAATCCGTCTCGAAGTTAAATTTTTCGAAAGTCAGATGTCAAGTTCATCATACTACTGGGTTCTGATTAAAAGTTCACGAAATTTGGAGCTGTGGTACTGCCGCAAACATTGGCCTTGACATTGAAAGTCTGCGCTGACAAACAACCAGACAGATTTCGCACGCTCACAGAGAGAAAGAAACCTTAACGATTTCTTAAACAGCCTCATTCCTTTTTTCTTTTTTTAAGAAAGGAGGTTTGTGAACAGAGAAAAAATAAATTATCCTATCTTCCCATCTGGTGCGTGACTTTCGACTCAGACTGTATACTGTCAAGCAAAAGTAATTAGACCATTTTTCTCCAATCAGTGTTTCCCTTATGGAGGAGTGGTAATTAGCAACTGCTTACTGCATCCTCTTTCCATTGGTGAGCAAACCATCGCACGAATCAGACACGGGCACCAAGGCGAGGGCAAATAGCGTCCGAACCCCATTTTTCAACCGTAAAAAATATGACGTGGGAGTTCTCGAGAGAGTCTACGATCGGAGACGGAAAAAAAAGGAAAGTCCATTGTCGTGCCCATTGCGAAAGATCGTGTTCTTTCCTCCTGCTCTAAAGCCTGGTTGGAGTGCTTTTTCACAAGAGCCCTGGACGTGCAAAGCAGCCTGGGGCAATCGTTGGCACAACAATGGAAAGTGGCTACTTAACGCTATCTACTCGTCTAAACTTTAGTCCTCCGCATCAGCCACGGATGTAGCTGTGTGACACGAGAAAACATTGTCTACAAATACTATTTTCGTTAGTCCTCCAACATATATCATGGAAGTCCCAGGGAAGTTCTAAGAGAAGAAGAATATAAAAAAAAGGGAACATAAAAACACTGAGTAGAAAATGCTTCAGTCGACACGAGGTTTTATGTGCCTTGGTATGTTAGGGGGCACAACAGATACCCGATATCAGAAAATAAAATCCCTTCTTTTTATCCTAACTTGATGCTATGAAATCTCTAGTGTGGTACTTGAAAACTTTCATTTTTATATCGAAATGTGCGCTCGATAGGATGATATCTACGGAGCCAAAAGCTTGGATTTCATACTCCTTTACTTTTACTATTTCGTTTTCCACATAAATGTTCACTTTCACTGTGCATTAGTGCCTTGACCGATCCACCAATTACGAATTTCACCCGTTGATCGTGGGATAACGACAGAAACACGAAGGAACCAATCCAGAGTTGTTTTCCAAGGAATGAACCAAGCCAGGATCCCTGAATGGCATGTCGTTCACAGATGCAGACAGGTGTTCGTGATGGACCTGGGCGGTGGGCAAATAGCCTAATAACTCCAAGTGGAAAAAAGGTTAAAAACTCATGCGACCGTAATGAGCCATGAATTAATAAGAAACCATCTCCCTATTCTTCGGCCGTGAATCAGCATAATGCTCATAAAGTCGTGATGCCTTTGGGAAAATGAAATGGTGTCGGACTCGGATGCACCGTACTGTATAATGGCAACAGGTGTTTTCAAAGAGAAGGAGAATGCAGCCTGCAGATGTCTGGTTTTCCTTTTCCACCCATGAAATATGTTCTCTCGACTCACTTTCCCACGCACTTTCAAACGCGCCGTACAATGCAGAGTTCCAAGATGTGTTTTTTTTTATATATTTTTTATTTCAGACCTGGATGAGAAAGGGCGCAAAATAAACGAGTGTTAATTCATCCAATGATCGTCTCTGAATGACTGGGCAAAACCCCTCTCTTTAATCGACCCACTTTTTCTGCCTATCACGGAGGGGGTGAAAAATAGGGAAAGTGTGTTCAGGGGAATGAACTGGGACCGAATCTGCCTTCTTTGTCTTTCTGTTTGGGATTCGCTTACGTAAGGAAAAGCCGGAAGTGAACGGAAACCGGATAGGGGAGAGAAAAAAATTAAAAACCAGGCAGAACGGTAGCAGGACGTTTCCCACGAATAACGAAACCGAGTTTTCCCCATTATATGGGTTATAATGCCGGTGGGATCGCGTCGGTGACGCAAGGCTAGCGAGAACATTTTTTGTTGACGCCTAACGAGTCTTAGCCCGTTCGTGCGGTACGAAATTTTCCAGTTCCAAGACGTTGCATCCCAAAGTCTTCAAGTTTTATTTTCTTTTGCCTTTGGCTGCCATACTTTCTTCTTATATTGTTTTCATGATAATTATAATTTCAATTTCATCCATCTGTCATTTTCGATATTCAATTCTCTCCAAATTTATATCTGATTATTTTTCGTCTATTTGGAGAGAGCAAGTCGAAGCAAAACAGAGGAAAGAGGGAGGAAGGGAGAGATAAGAGAGAGAGAAAGAAAGAGAGAGAGAGAGAGAGAGAGGGGGCGGGAAGGGTTACCCTAGTGGGTAGATCGGTGTTGAAGAAGCATTTGCGGCAGTTGTCCATGTCATCGTGCCTCACTCCCATGCACAGGGTATCCAACCAAGAATTCACCCGTCTCGGTGTTCTGCAGACAAAACCACGATCACTGCCACATCCATACAATAGAATCCTTGCAATTATTTATCATTACAAAAATAAACCATCGACATCGTTAGATGGGGTATGCATGCATACTTTACATTACATAACATTTGACAGTTGGAGGGAAAAAATGCATTTGCGATAATAATTTTTAAAGTTAGGAAGTCAAGAATACATGAATTAAGGACGAAAATCGAGAAACGGCGAGTAATCGCTTGAATAACTGCACGTGAAGCATTGAACTCGTGCGAAGGCCATTTATTATGGATTACGCATGTCCTTCATGCATTCTATGAATATAATATGAGCTGGGAGGTTACACAGTACATCGTCCTTTTATCCAGAGATGGGGCGTGCTTCCGTTCTCCCTTTTATAGGAGGAAAAAGAAAAAACCTCCCAAAGATTCCTATCACCCTTGCATGGGAAACCCGATACGGGGGGATTCAGCGAAACGGTCGCTGAACTTCATCCTTTGACAAGTATGCATAGTTAAAAAAAAAAAGAGGAGAGACTCAAAAGAGGAATTGTAACCATATAGAAACGTTTTGGTGGAGGTGTTCTCAGTAGTGTGCAATGAAATCGATTAAAGTTTCGAGATCGTGGGATGACTATGTAGAAATCTGATCGAACCCCCAAGTGTAAGGGGGCGTTCCACTCGAACCGGTTGGCATTTCACTCTTGCCAGAAGACTTTTGCGTCGTTGCTGAGTGTCGAGTTGTGAAGCAATGCCGAGGCGGCATCTTCGTCTCTCAAGTAGCAGACGAACGTTTCCCCGAGTCAAGTCCTCGACTGCGTCAACCGTACATCCCCTCGATGTCCTACCGTATTTTCTCGCAAGTTCTCCCAAAGCATGTCCGAGTACCCCAAGGTATATCATGCACCAGAATCTCCCTCTCCTAGGGAGATTCTCGTGCATGGCTGAAACGTACACCAATTCACCTCGTTATGCTCTATGTGAAAAATCCAGAATTCGTACGTTGGACATCCTAGATGACCCCCGTCTTCGAAATATGGCTTCTGTCACGAGTCGACAGCTTGCAGACTCGCGAGCACCCCTGCGAGGTTGTAAAAGTTCCTCCTCGTCCTGGTCATTCCTGTGCCAACATACCTTGTGTCTCTTTTGGTGCTCCTTTAGCAAGGGCACAGGAAGTGAGGGGTAAATGCCAGACCACTTTTTTCCAGTTAGGTGCATGTCTCCATCTCACTACTCTATCGACTGTGTTCGGCCCTTTCACCATCCCCGTTCCCGCAGTTATGTCCTTAGGGCTCATCGCAAATCTACATCGTAGCGTGTACATGCTGGTCCTGGGCCCTTGACGGTTAACTGCACGATGAATATAGAGAAATAACTGGCTCCGATTCCAAATGAATTTCAAGAGAGCATCGAGCCAGAGGACAACCTTATAAACGCGAAGGGAACCAGCTTCTTTCCTCCACCACGAGACAGTAACAATGGGTCCCCATTGCATCCAGGATTACGACTGCCAAAATCAAGAAAATCCCTAGGAATTTACAACAGCCGAGGGCGGCCGTCTCCGATGGGTCAACACGAGGATCGGGAGAGTTCACATCGTTGGTCTTCGTCGAGCTACCTTTTCACTTTTCACTTTTATAAGGTAGGGGTCTACGGTAAGTGAGGTAATGAACCTCCACGCACCTAAAAGCGGCAGACTTCGAGGCTGATGTTCCCGTTCTTTATCAATGACTCCTCAGTTCTACCATGAGGGTGGACCGAATCGAGTACTGCAACCTGAATGCCGTTATGGCAAATAAACATATATATCTATATATTCCAGCTTGATGAGCCTTTTTGAGCCCTCAAGATATCGACATCCCACACGCATCTTCGTCGAAGATGTGTGGGGACATCCAAGGAAATTGGCAGACGGGTGTCCATTAGATGTTTTCGCGTGAATGTATAGATGTCCTGTGGACATTTATCGAATGCCTGTATATGAATGTGGCTGTCTAGGGGCAGTTTCTTCAACTATTCCGGTTCGACCGAGGTCGGTTAAAGAGGGGAGGGGATTGCAGCACCAGCAGTACACGAAGAGGCTAAAGAGTGGGGTGGAGAGCCCAGTGGCGGCGGCTGTGGTAACAATGGATACTTTTTTAACCGACCTGGGTGAAACCGGTCACGTAAGCGGAACTGCCGTCGATGGCGTCGCGTCGGCATTCCTTCACGGCTGAACACCCAACAGCGCCGAAGCCAATCGGCACAGGGGGTGACGAGGTCGGACTGGCGTTAATGGACTCCTCCCCTTCACTTGGGCGTTCGGAAACTTTTTTCCGTAAAGAGACATCCTACGCTCTTGAAACTTAGATTGGCGTCGTTGCATGCTACCACAAGCTCCCGCACCGAACGTCATCGATATGGCTAAACTCGTCGGTATCGTGTATCATACGAAAAGGAAAACGTACATTCGCTGGAAACCGGTGTTTTTGTTGAACATCCAGGGGTTCATGTCGAGGAATCCGCCGTCGTATCTCTGTCCATGGAAGAAGGTATCACCCCCGACTCGACGTTCCACCGGACCAGACCCAAGCGACGGCGACGGCGGACGTCCCGAGCCCGGCGGCTGCTGCAGCACCTGTACATCGACATGCACGTCCAGTCCTCACCATCTCGCCTCGGGAAAACGCTTTTTCTTTTCAACTTCCGAGTTAAAAATTAAAACGCGGACGAATGAAAATGTACAATATCCAAACTACCAATGGGAAAGAAAAATTTTGAATTAAAAAAAGCTAGTTAAAATATCAATAGTTCGGAAGGCTAGGACACTGGTAGTGGGAAAAGTACGAAGGAATATATCAAAATTGTGCATTAAAATGAGACTAAAAATGCTACAATGACCATGTGCAAATGCATTAAATGGGATTGAAGAAGTAGAAAGTCACGATCGAGCAAGAACTGAAGTAGAGGAAATGAACGAAAATACCGGAACGAGCCGTTTGATAAATACGCAAATATTCCGGCTTCGCACTGGAGATGCGGAGCGTAAGACTGCATGCAGAAGCCTCCATTAACGCGATACTTCCATCAGCAAGCGTGCCTTCTTTTCAATGGATGCAGATCAGTGGCGTGGCGAGGGTGAAGGGGACCGAAGCCCTCCGACTTTAATCTAAATCAGAGGTGTCAAACTCGAATAAGCTGGGGGCCGGATGGAACCCTTCAGGGGTGTTTGAGGGCCACACTAACAAATCTTAAATCAAGTTTTTAATGCGAACTGGTTGAAATATCAGCGCTTTTCCAAACCCAACTAGTGAAATGAACTTCGTGAGCCGGACAAAATGAACTAATGGGTCGGATCCGGCCGCGGGCCGCCAGTTTGACACCCTTGGTCTAAATGCATCGCACGGCAAACCAGGAAAAGTCTGAGAAAGACCTTTTCCGAGGGGGTGGAAGCAACCGTGAGCTCCTTCTCCCCTTCCCAACCACCCGCTGGGGACAGCAGTATAAAAAAAAAAAGGGGGAGGGGGGGGGAGGAAGGGGAGAGAAGGAAATTGTCACCCAGCTTTCTCAGCAGCCACACCACCCAGATCAAAAAAACGATCCAAGTGGGGAGTCTCGGAAAATTTTAGCCCCCCCTTCGCTCCTCCTAGCCACCAATGACGAAATCCTGGCCACGCCATCGAATAAAACTTAAGAGCGCGTTAGTCGAGGCTCGTGCACCCGGCCTTGCCACCCTAAGAGTACCTGAGCATGTGCCACGCGGAAGAGAAGGAGGAGAAAAAGACGTGGGAAGACGAGTGACGTCATCCGCAACACCGATCTCACTGTCAGAATCGCAATCACAATCCAGTCATTCCTCTCATCCCTGACTGACTCCCGGTTCACTCATCCATCCGCACATGACATACACTCGATCCACGATGTGAATAGCACTATTAAAAAAAGTCCCGCCCCGTTTGCGATTAAAATCGGCCAATGATTCGTCTTCCTCTTAGTTATTCCCGTCCCACCCTCCTTTTTTTCACCAACTCTTTCTTTTTTTCAACCCATTTTTCATTTCATGCATGGCCACGTGAACTTTTATGCGTCCGTCTCTATCTCGGATGCGTAGGATGGGTGACATTTCCTATTCCACGCAACCGTGAGCCACGCAACCGTGAAAGCCATCCGCGGCTGCAGGAATTGGCGGGATGCGAAAATGGAAACGCGCACAAGCAGAGACCCCTCGTTCGAGAAATGCGGGAAAAGCTCCTCGAAACGAGACCGCCACGAAATCGTACAGGAAGCGAACGTCCGCGTGTGCTTTGCGAGTCGTTTCGTTTCTTCGGATTCGCGACGAACAGGGCGGTGCGAGAAAAATCGGAGAATGCTAACGACCCAGCGAGTGTCGAGGTGGAAATTTATGCAAGGAATGAAAGGTCGATTCTCGTCATGCACGATGGGGAATTCATTTGCCTAAATTCGAAAGCATCTCAATCAGGATTCACGTCACCGGATCGATCGCCGACGGCACTCGAACTTGGCGCGTCCCTCATCCCGAATGTGTCAGGCGTCCCGCAAGGCGCCCTAAACATTCATCATCGGCCTTCCACCGATTGGTCTTCGGATGATCGATCTGTCACCGATCGGTCTTCCTCTCGGCTATTTTTTTCCGCTCTCTTCATCTTCTCGATGCCTTCAGATGCGATGAAGGCAGAAAGTGTGTCTCGTGCGCATCGCCCTTGGCAGTGGCCGTTCGATCCAACTGACCTTCTCTCGTCCATCATCTTGAAATGAATTGTATTCGTCATGGGCCTTGAACAGATCGGAGATGCTCTCGTTTGTCACTGTCCCTCTTTTAGATACCTTCACCGTTTGATTCCTCGGAATGCCATAAGCTGTGAAATCGACCCCTCGAGCACGGGCAATTGCGACTGCTCGCCCCGGATCACCTCGCACCTCGAATGATTCGGGCTTTCCGACGTCGCCAAACGAAGACCCGCGAGGTAACAGACTTAAATTGTGCATCCCCTTGACATAGAACATACCCACCTCGATCGTCACGCTCATTCTGTGGAACGCAGTCCCGTCGGTCTGCCTACTTCACTTGAGAGAAGAGAGAGAACCAAATGCAGAAGCTCTAAGCACCGCAGTTGCTGTCTTATGCGCAAGATACGGCATCGAGGTTGTATTTTAAGTTCCGACAAAAGTATTTTACAGAATTTATCATGAATTTCTTGAGTTCTTTGATGATGGTCAGAGAAAGAGACTTGGGACAGAAATGGGACGGCACAGAGTCCATAGGGTAACTTGGGGGAATATGGCCATTGGGGTAATATGGCCCTTCACAATGAATCCCTTAACAGAATGAATAATTAGTACGGGCGAATTTTGAAAATAGTTTTGTCGAAGAGTGCATGGAATTGCCGAAATGTTTAGACCTATTCATTGATCCAGTTCTTACTGGAATTCGGGATACATAGATTTCTTCTAGTCATATGCATACGATTCTTCAACTCACGTCCCTGAAACTAATATGGGCCTTGAGCCACTTAAGCGTATATTTCCTAATAACAGCATGGATACAAAAACCATTTGTACAAAGTTATGCTATGATTCCTCCTGAATGCTTGTGGAAAGTGCTAGCCCCTTTACTCGCGGTACGCATACAGTGTTGTCAATTTTGTCATGCAAGCCAATATGGGGGAATATGGCCACCCCGATTTGGGGTAATATGGACACATACTTCATTTCATGGTAGCACCGCACTGACCTATCGGTAGTGTCAGCTTCCTTTCACGTGGGATTTCAGTCAGCAAAAGATCATCCCATGCACTCCCTCTGGATATACGGATAGACGTACAGGACATCTGGACGAAATATGCAGTTCATGAGGAGGCGGTGCATCAGGATATGCACATGCACCGCCTCTTAGACATCCGCTTGACATACACCAGACATTTTTGTCGCACGAAATGTGAGTGAAAGTAAATATCCCTCGTACAATAAGTTAAAAGGGTATTCTACAATTTTTTCCCACTATTTATGCTTGCATGCAAAGGCTTCGCAACGTTTTTCCTGCAATGCAATTCCTCTTATTTCACACTCTTAACGCATGTTCACTCTGAACTATGTTTGATCCCTCTTCTTACACCCACAGCTCGCAGATACAGTCTCCCAATCACGTGCAATGCTTCTTGAAACCAAAAGCGTTGCAATCCTGCTTTCCGCAGCAGGTCCTCGAGTCAGGTAATGATTTCGACTTCTTTGCTTCTTCTCAATGAAGTTAGTGTTTCTCTTTCAACTCCTGAGCGTCCTATGTTTCAAGGTACTCAGCAAGTTCCAGCATATTTCACACGTTCCTGGAAAATCTGGAGTTGCTTTTTCAGAAGTGGTCATATTCCCCCAACTATATGGGTAATATGGCCTCTTGAGACCAACTTGGAAAGGATCCAAAGGCGCAATATTCATGCGTTTTTTTGCATATGCCTTGCTGGGATTTAGTAAAGGAGATATGAATCAATATTTTAGAAACATTTCAAAAGTCAAATTCGACCTTGACGGGCCGCTATGATCAGGTTTCATTTTGAAGGCCATATTCGCCCAAGTTACCCTATGTGGCAAGGTCCTTCTTTATTCCTCCCAGGATTCCAGATCTCCTCCGTCTACAAAAATGGACACCTGTTCTCTTACAATTTCGTCGTTTTAATTTGTACCTGTGGAGTATATGTTCACCGATGATTAAAAGAAAATTAATCATCTGGGGCTACATCATACCTACATTGATACCATGTAGCGAGTCGACGTTGACCAGCCAGGAAGATGCAGAAAGTGATTGCAGAAGCTGACTAAGAGAAGCAATGGGAGGAATCGTCTTCCGATTCCTTCCTTCTCGTTCGTCCTCAATCACGAGTTCATACCTTTTTACCTCTAGCATATACGACAAGGCAAAAGTGATGGATTCACCCCGAGGTTGTTTGATACCACCCATTCTGAACCCGGTGTTTCCCTCCTCCACTTTGCTTCAGATTTCTTTTACCGAAGGGCCGAGGCAGTTAGTGGTACCAGGAGAGGATGTCCGGAGGGAGACTTTAATTCATTGGAGAGCCCTGCCATAAGACCTTCGACTGGCCTGCTAGTATCCCTTCGGGCGACGTCTCAGGCCAATATCTCTTTAGTTTACCGCGCTTCCAGAAGATGAAATCGGCACGAAATGGAAAACTGTTTTCAAGATTTCCATTTCGGTCCGTACGGACTTCCGATCGCGTTTTAAATTCGGGGTCCACAAGTCGAGATAGGAAAAAAAAGGGGGAGGGATTGCCACGCATAGCCTAGTCTACTTCGATTAAAGCCGTCATAACAAATCCTGAAATTCTTCGTCTACCAGAATGAAAATGTAGACCAGTCCAAAGCGAATGATTTTCCGCATTCTCACTTCATTGTACGTAGGTGGTTCAAAGGAAACCAAGACTTTCCGTCCCACATATGGTAGGTGAAAATTCTTTGTGGCGCCACCGTCTCAGAATGGACTTGACGTGTTAAATTCATAATGGCGTCCACTTGTATCAGTGCCACAGAGGGACAGCGCGTTTTCGTGCTTTTTATGACAAAGGAAGACATGAATCCTGTTTAAATTCACAGTAGAGGTGCAAATGAGTATGGTGAATCTGTCCTATCACGTTGAAGTGTTAAGAACTGGTGTTTACGTTTTCATAAGGAAAGACAATTGTGCCAAGCGGTGCCGATTGGTCCTTGCTCGCCCCCTTCCGCGATGACCTGACCTGAACATGAGTCGTGTGAATGAGTGAATCACGGCGGTTCGTGGCGGGAAGATGCGGAAGATTACAAATCTGTTCAGCTAAACACAAGGAGTGCAGAAACAAAATTCCTCGAGTACTTGAAATATCGGATAGTGTCAGAGCCGATGCCTTCCAGGATCCTGCTCACGCTTCAGACATGGGAGCGCAAAACTTCTGCATGGAGTCGAATAACCGGTTCGAAAGCGAAGGGAACGACTCAACTAGTTCAACTGAGCCCAAGCCATCATCATAAACTTGGGTCCTTTCAGACGCGTACAACACTTCAGGAGAAATGGTCAGCTTGTGTCCTGCAGTGGGTTCAAGGTCTGCTCAAATATTTACGTGCTACAGTTATCTGGGTACTCTTGAAGCAATAATACAAGTGCCTCAATAAAGTAGGCAAGCACTCCGAGAAATAGGCGAAATTTCGTTAATGTACCTTTTCCTATCGGATCATAGCACAAGAAAGTTCAAGTTTTCCTTGAACGACCTTCGTGATGACTATTCCGTATTGAAATGCAAGAAACTTCTTAAATTGAGCGAAATGTATAGATGATAATCATCAACAGCGATCGAGCTGAGCAAAAACCCGTACAGAAAAAAAGTTCAACGTGTTGAAATTATTTTCAACGTCTATTCAACAGGGGTTCAACACTATTCACCATTGAACTATCGATGATTTACGTAAATAATATATTTACAGCAGACTTTATGAGAATGTACTGTGAAAAGTGATTTCAACAACAAGATGGAGATGAAGCAATATCAATCATGGAAATACTCAGATGTAATTCTCGCCTTATACAATAGATGCAGTGGCGTGCCCAAGGGGGGAGGGGGGGTGTTGGGTGTCGTAACCCCTCGCTTGGGGTCAATTTTACAAGTTTGATTCTCAGAAATTTTTTAATTTGGCCACAAATACAGGGTGGGTTATAAGTTTTTTCATATGTTAACCCCCCCCCCCCCATTAGGGTGGGTAATCAGTGTTTCATGTGGCAACCCCCAAAAAAAACAAGACTTGCACAAGAGAATCACATCGTGAAATAGGCGACAAAAATTTATATCTAAGCTATATTAGTTCACGACTAGTCGGTCTGATTATTGGTCTCAGAATTTTGAATGCATTTTTACATTAGTCTATTCCAGGCTGAATAGTTGAAAGTTCACAGACCCTGGGATAAGCTAAGCCTAACGTCAAAGGAACCAATTCACATCACAACACAACATTTTTACGCCGAACTACTGACATTGGGAGAGATTGACTTGCAGTCATGACGGCTACCGAGCGATATGGGGAATAGCATAGTTCCAACGCCTCTCACAAGGATAACAAAGACAAGCGCGAAGGTGCGAGGGGGAACGAACCCCTAAGCATCAGATATACAGGATGGTCCACAATTGTCTCCCCAAAAGTAAATGCTTATTACTCAGAAAGTATACATCCGATTTTAATGATAAACGATAGCCAATGTTTAAACGATAGCCAATTCAATATATTTTTTGTGCGAAAAATTTCAGCATTCTATGTGAAACTAGAACAAAGTTACACCATAACAAATGAAAGTACCCATATCGTGGAACTAAAGCCTGTAAATATCACAATTCCTTCCGATATTCGCAATTCCATCTTGAGTTTCGCAATTCATTCGTGGGATTTTCATCCATCGCAAGGGATTGTCTGTGTCATGGGCAACCTTAGTATCCTGCAGAAGACGAATATTTTTACTTGGTTCAATAATTTGAAGAGAGCACATTTGTGCGGGGAAAAATTGGAAATTTTTTCAGTTTTGGTCCAAATGTCTCAGTTCCTGATGAAAAGATCATGAAGGCAATTCATAAGAGGTTTCTGAACCTGAAGAGATTCGTCGGCAGACCTATGACTACCTAGATATGCTGAAACAGGCCATTAGAGATGCCTTCGCCACAGTAGGATCAGAGATGATCGAAAGAAGTCTGTTGGCATTCAAAGAGAGACTGCACCAAGTCATTGAAAATTGTGGAAGTCAAATGGAACACTAGAGATTTGGGTGCTTTCATTCGTAAGGATGTAACTTTGTTTCATTTTGATATGAAATATTGAAAATTTTCATGATAAAAATATATTGAATTGGCTACCACGAGAGCTATATATAATTGAAATCAGATGCATACTTCCTGAGTAATAGGCTTTTACTTTTGGGGAGACAATTGTGGACCACCCTGTATGTCGGGGATTCTCCTCTTTTCCCAAACTGTCAGAAGACAGTTTCTTTTCTTTATTCAACAGCCGTT